ATTTTGGATTTTTGTGTTGATTACAAAACCACATTCAAATGGACATTTTCAGGTGAGTCACAGTTTTTATCATATTTGTCTTTCTTTGCCTTATATGTGAAAATGTTCACTGTTTCTATTTATTGCCGTTTTTAAAATTTCTATCTCTTTTTTCTTTTCAGTTGCTGCCAATGTAACGTGAGTATTTTAACAATGTCTGCATCCAGAAGTTCATACCACAGCAGCAGATACTGTGGATCACGGAAGTTCTGATTGTATTTTAAAGCATGTTTCTGCACAAATCTCTGAATTATTAAGGCAACGCACTCCTAATGACAAAGGGTGTATGTACAGTTTAAGTGCATTCTTTCGTTTTGTAGATAATTGCAAAAAACCTCCAGAATCTCTGATCTATCCAACATTTACATCACAAGAAACTGCTTAAACACAGTGAAGCTTGAAGACAAACTCTATTTCAAATATTTAATGCTTTAATCTGATGCCCAAAATAAATGTTTTTTTTATTTATTTTTTATTTATCTCTTAGCATCCCCTCGGTTTTGATTTCTTGACGTTGTCACAGCTGGTTTTGCTGATTTATGAATGCCCTAAACTAGAAATTATCCCAAGCTTTAAGTCATATTAAGTATGATTTAAGTCTCATCATTTCCTTATCTCCCTGTGCATAGTGCCTCATGTCCAGCTGTCAGCCTGACCTGTCCCAAGGAGGACTGCTGACCGCCTTGGATTGACTATTTATGAGGTGACTGGTCAAAGGATGAAGGCATTTCAGGAGCTGATTGGCCTGGTCGGTCTCAGGGCTTCTCATGGCCATAAAAGTTGAACAGCCAAACCCCCGTCCAAGCCCATATATACCCCACAGAGTTAGCTTTTTAATCAGTGACTCCCTCACTGCGTCCCAGCCCTTCAGCCAGTCTCTGCCGGCCTCCTCATCATCACTTTGTAGGTGAGAAACTCTTTTACTTAATGCTTAAAGTGAAGCTGATCCTCACAGGAAATACAATTTAGTGAGTCTGGTGCAGATTAATCTTATAACAGGTTAAAAAACCTTCAATATATAAATCTTGAATGAATGTATTCAATAAGAAAATTATTATGTACAGAATTACTGAAGTTTTCAATCATAACTGAGGTAATGAGTAAAGTTTTCATATTTTTTGGATGTTTCCTGTTTATATATTATGGTTTTACCATCTTGCACCCTTACATTATGTGCATAAAACTATAAAATCTACATAAAACTACTGTAAGATTAAAAAACAAACTAGATTTCCATATTTATAAATAAACAAGAAACAAGAACAAGAAAGATTTATTGTTTCAAAAATGAGTTTTCCAAACTGGTTAAAAGACATTTCTATCTCGTTTTCACACTGAACATCACAATTAAGCTCCTTCTTATTTTTTTAAATTATTAACATGGTATTAAAACTCGTGATTAATGCACATATAGTTTTATTCAACTGCATTAGAATCTGTAAATAAATCGACTCAAACAGTTATCAGCCTGCAGGGTCAAAGAACTGAAAAATCAGATGGTTCCAGCACATCCACCTGAGCTCTCCTGAAAGGCAAAAGGAAAGAGAAAATGTTGCTGCACCGAGATAATGAGCGATTGTCTCTGCCAGTAAAATAATTAGTAAAATGTGAAAGTGAATGAACTACACGTGTAAAAGCCTGCAGCAGTCTGATTCAGGTGTTGTCCTAAAGTTAATCAGCTGGGATCAAATGACAGAAAATATAAATTAAATCATTTTTTTAACAGTTTGATCATTTTCACATCTCAATGTCGTCCTCTTGGATTGCATTACTCTCCGACATGTGATGGTTGACCTTTGACACTGAGCCAGGATTAGCAGTGGCCCAGCTGGCACAAGATTCACCCTGAAGTTTCTATTCTTAAATGACCAAAAATGCACAAACCTCCTGTGGAAGCTGTTGGGGGAAGTTTCCAGAGGGAGACATCAAAAATAGAGCAGAACAAAACTGAACTTTAAGAGTATTTGTGATGTACTTATTGATTTTAACACATATTTCTACACCAAGTTGCATTTTAATAGCAAATCTAAATTTATAAAAGCGTGGCTTGTATGTCATTATCCAGGTAACAGAGTCCTGTGAAAAAACATCCCACGATTCAGCCTGTAAAACCATCTTTGGTAACTGACAGGCACCCAAACCTCAGCTCACTCTCTGGGCAGTTTACTTTTTTGGGAATAGTGTTGTTTTTCGTTCACATTCATTTTGTTCTCTTTATTCTTTTTAAATCTACTTTATGGAGTTTGTAGTGTAGTAAAAATAAAGACGAGATGTGTGTGTAAAGATGAGGTCAGAGGTGACGTGATATTTGGATTCAAACTATAATTGGAATAGATTTCGAATTCCCATATTTCCTTATATTCCTAATGCTGTCAGTACAAACTAAGGCAGCAGGAAACGTAGTTTTAAACAGCTCTATATTGGATTATTATCACGTTGATCTTCAGATCAGTATATTGACCTTGAAGAAGAGTTTAGAGGTCATATGTGGTGTGACATTTAAGATTTTTATATATTATGGTACACACCACACGTTTCAGTTGCCCATGGTTAACACATGACCTCTTTGGTGGAGGTAATAAATTCATTGAATTTACTGAATGGAATCTTTTGTTACTTACATTGTCTCAAATCTTTGCTTTCATTTTCTTCTTCATTTTTTCGGATTATTACCAGAGTCAGAAACCTGAAGGAAGCCACAATGTCTGAGTGAGTATGTTTATTCTGTGTAAAACACTTTGAAAGAGCCAATCAGGATATCACATTCATCATTTTGTGAGGAGTTTACATCAGAATACTCGAATGTTGTTTTAAATATGTCGCGTCTTTATGAATTAAAGGGGAAAGAAGATGACTTCAAGCCGCAGGCATCATCTCAAGGTGAGACTCTGTTAAGATTATCAGCGCTGCATCTACATGGCCCCAAAAGTAAATGAAGCAGCATCAAGAACAACAGTACAACACACAGCAGTAATAATGTGGAATCTCTTTGTCGTCCTCTTTCAGAGTTTAATGCTGCAAATCGCTGCCAACTTGCTCGAACAGGAAGCTGCTGAAATCATCGTCACCAAAGAAGCTTACCTCGCAGAGAACTGTGCCGCCCTCGACCTGAGCAGAGACCAAGCAGCTCTGATGGTAAGAACGTCAACCTCACTCTTACATGATGGGCTGTTTATATGACAACAACTGCATCTGTTTTTTTTTTTTCTTTTAATTCTCGACAGGACTTCTGCAAAAAGCTGCATCAGGCCATTGATAAGATTGATGAGGAGAGATACGACACCCAGGTCAAAGTGGAAAAGGCCGACAAAGAGGTGGAGGATTGTGTGCATCTGTCCTCCTTTTAGCAGATTGTGTGCTGCAGTATACTGCGTGGGTCTGTGTTTATCTGCTCTGTTCAGCCTTTGAGCTTCTCCTTTTGACTTCAGATCAATGAACTGAAGATGAAGGTCATCGAGCTGGCCGGAGTGAAGAAACCAGCCTTGAAGAAAGTGCGTATGAGTGCCGACGCCATGCTTAAAGCTCTTCTGGGCTCCAAACACACGGTAAACATGGACCTCAGGGCCAACCTGAAGCAGGTCAAGAAGGAAGTGAAGGAGGAGGTGAGTGTTTGCAGGCTGATTGTTTAAGAGAGCTAAAAACAGTTAACTGTTGCTGATGGTGGGCTGTGTTTGTGTCCTGCAGTCTGCTGAGGTGGTGGGCGACTGGCGCAAGAACATTGAGGACAAGGCTGACAGGAAGAAGATGTTTGAGACCTCTTAAAGACTTTCTCATCCAACTTTTGTTTTGCTCATTCTGGGATGTTACAGCTCTTCATCACTGTTGCCTCTGATCTCTTACGTGCAATTAAATGTTCTTTTTGGAATAAGGCAATGCTGTGAAGCTGCACTTTTTTCAAGGCGGTCTTTTTTTATTTTAACGGCTAATTTAAGTTGGGCTAATTTATACGGGCTGTTGTATATTCACTTACTCCTGAGTTCAATCAGGTTCAATCAGAAATCTAAAGCAGAAAAAGCTTTTTTTTCCAGGTGTAAGATGACTTTAACATAACTTACATTTCCAAATAGGCAGTTAGAAACTGAGATGTGTTGTGCTGATGTTGAACCACCAGATGTCAGTAGAGAGCCCTTTCATCCTTTATTTGCTGGCTCCGTTTTCTTCTTTTACATCTTCTCTTTTTAGTTTGAGTCCTAGAAGACTCAGCTATCTGACTCAAGACTCAACTTTTTTTCGTCATACCTGGAATTTACTGCTCAATCGTTTGTAATCAAATCATATTTGATCACCAATAAAGCTGCAGCCACACAGAGTTCTACAAATGGTGAGTGCTGTTACTCTTTTGACCTTCATCACTCTTTGTTTAACCACTGCATTCAATTTGTCTTCATTCCTTACAATATTTACAGTTTTTATGTTAAATAACTCGTATAAATTAAGTAGGGATTTCTCAACATAGTTTATCAGGTATGTTTAGATGTTTAGATATCTTTCCATTTGTGAATGTCATGGCTGAGAGGGGAACAGCTAACAACGGTTGTGTTAAACATCAGAAATTGTTTTTTCCTAAACTTTCAAGTGTTTCTCTTTTGATTTATAGTTCTAAGGAAGAATGCAGTCAATCAGACTGTTTTCAGCTTCTATTAACAGTAAATCAACAATAATAACAATAAGTCATCGTTAATGCATTCAGTGATAGAAACAGAACATAAAGACCAGAAACAAAACGATGATTGGTCAAGTTACATTCCCTGTCTTACTTTCACTTTCCTGATTCCCTCTCATAGGCAGCGACCTGGTGTGATGAATTTCAAACTTAATGTGCATTTAAAAAAAAACACCCTCAAATACTAATATTTGGATAGTCAAAACAAAATCGAACATTTAGTACATTCGTATTGAAATATTAGTGCTTATTAATGTGCTTATTATAGGTAGTAGCACAGTGTAGTACATCAGTATTATACTGGTGTTGCATCTATATGTGGTAAGCATACATATCAAACCATCAAACATTATTTCACTGTTAGGATAATAATATGGCTTATATAATTCTTTTTTTTATTTGTAATGTAATCCACCAAAAACTGAAGGAAGGAAATTTTCTTTCGATTTCCGTCTGTAAGCAAAGAGGAAAAAGCCAAAATGATGCCAAATTAGTTGTTTTGCTTCATTTATACATTTTAACTTACATTTACACGTTAATTTGTTTCATTTAAATATTAGATTTTTATTTATGACTTTTTAAAAATTTTACAAAATATATGTCCAAATTTCAAAATGACCATCAGCATTATGGCTTCAAGCACATAAAACTCATCAGTATTAAACTGTCTTCTTAAGTCAGACTTTGTTTGATGCCATTTTGTCAGATTTAGTTTTGTTGTAGTTTTTCTGTTTTTGATTGCTCTGTATTTGGCACACTGACTCTACCAAGGGTGTGGAACAAAATCCACGGCCCCCTTTGCTCAAAGAGCAGATTTTAAGTTGTACTGGCTGTCAGTTTTTATGGTTTGATTTTGTGTTTAACCTCTTAACGTTCACCACGTCACCGGTGGCCCATCGAGGGTGATGGTTCTTTTTGTTTTGCAACATTCACACAGTTTACAGGGACATTTGCTGAAATTACAGGATGTTACCTTTGATATACAGTTGTACTTTCATTTCGGCATTAACATTTTAAAAAGGGGTGAATTTAATTCACCCTCCCTCTCCCCCTCACCCCTACACTCAACCCTTAACCTTAACCCTGGACAGGACATCAGTGATGTCATGTGCATGAAGAGTAACTTGGTGCTGAAGCCTCATTTTAACGACAGCTGAACTTGATTGTGTCTAACAGCTTCAAATGCTGTTCTCAGAGCTCAGTGGGAATCAGTGAGATTGAATTACGTCAGCCACTCCGTTTGACTGTTGTGTGACAATTGCTTCGTCCCTCCGCTGGCCTCTGCGGGTGGGAACCTGATAGCGTCTGTCCAGCCTCCCGTCCAGCCTCTCATCCAGGGAGGCGACTTCCTCCAGTAGAAATTTATGAGGTTCCTCGTGGTATTTCTGGAGCCTGATGACCCATTGGTCTGAAGTAGCTCTGCTACCATAAAGAGGGCTGGCTTTCCTGCTGAGCCAGCACTTTATAGCCTATATACTCTGTTTAATCTTTACTGTTTGAGACTTAGCTGTGTCTCCCTCCCTGTTCTTCTTCCTCGTCTTGCTTAGTAGGTGAGAATTTCTCCTATAGCTTCACTCACTGTCAGGGAACAATACAGGGAGGGCTGCTCAAGAGGTGGGGGGTCCGGGAATTCTGGAGAGGCTTTTTAAGCACGAAGGACTAATTTTTTTGTTTTTAAAGATGTTGCTGCAGCTGTGACCTCTGACCTCTGATGTTGTGTTTAGAGAGAGAGAGAAGGAGCAGTTAGCTGGAGCTGACACTTACGATGGCTATTCAGACAGCGGACGATACTGGACATGCAGACGGGTTAAATGTGGATTTTGGTGTTGCAGAGCTTTTATTGATGTTTGCTTTGCAGCTTGCATGCTGTTGACGAAACTGTCAAGATTTGAGGCTTGAAACAATGTTCGAAGATGCGTTTGTTTTACCACTTTAGCTTAAATCTGCACACAGAGTTGGTTGGAGTTTTTGGATATTATAGACCTGCCATTCCTCAAATCATTTAGAGATCACATCAAATCCAGATAGATCATATAGATCATACCATCATGAAAAAAATTGAGAAAATGGTTTTATTTAGAGGTGAAGAAGAGTCGTTTCCTGCACGTTCTGCTGACCAAGTTTAAGGAATGTGTGTTTTTCTATAATCAGTCCTAAATGATTTGAGTCTTTCTATGCATCTTTGAGCTAAATTAGTGACTCTTAGCTCACAGGACTCAGTTTGTGTCTTTTAGGTTGGGCTGTGAAAGTGAGGATTTGTATTTCGATGATGGATGCAGACTTTATTTTTAAAAAAGCCTCATTCTCCAGATGGTGACCTGGGCACACACTTTGGTGCCTGGCATGGCTTCAGGATGTTGAAATCTGTTAGCTGCTCTCACTGTGCACTCGCTGCCACACTCGGTTCATCTGCTGGTGACATTTAGTGCTCAGATCGTTGGCTCGCTCCAACAACTTAAATTCCAGGCAGAAATGTCTTCAGAGGGGACAACTGTCGAGCGCTCCTGGGCGCCTGACCCCTCCTGTCCAAAATTAGCTGGTTTGTGGCAGTGTGATTTTCCATGATAGTAAAGCGCATCGTGTTTCTCGCTGGAGGTCAAAGGGCACCCAATCAATAACAGGTGTGTCCAGCTGAGCTGTGAGTCAGGCAGAGTCAGGGTTCTGTTACTTTTCACTCCTCGCATTTGACTAACGAGTGTTTTCTGTCTCTGCAGGGTGTGAAGATCACAAACAGCCAAAATGACTGAGTGAGTACAATTTTACTTTTTTCATTTTCTCCTTATTTGCTTGCCTTTTTTCCAAGTCTTCCCCTTCTTCTGTGTTTCTCCTCCTTCTCCTTCCTCTTCTTCTTTACCTCCTTTTGTCTCTCCCCCATCTTCTTCTTCTTTTCTTACTCCTGCTTCTGGTTCACCTTCTTTAAGATGATTGCACATGAAGCACTTATCAGTGGGAGTGAGAGGTGCTGACAGGTGGATTTGTATTGTCAGGTTTGCTGTGTGACAGACGGGTTTAGGACCAAAACACAGAACTCCACAGACAAAATGTAAACTCCAAAAGCAGCTTTATTGCAGAACCTCAGAAATTAGCCATGAAACACACGAGGCACACAGCTTAAGGGAGAACATGACAAAAGGGAAGGGACGACTGAGACAATAAATACACACAGAGGATAACGAGGGAACAAGCCAACTGAACATGACACACACAGGATAAGGGACTATCAAAATAAAACAGGAACTACCTAACAGTGAGACCTGGACGAAGACATATGAGCTTGACACAGAAACACAAGCGAAGCGGAAAAAACGAGGGACAAATAAACCAGTCTGAAACCAAGAAATGCTGCAGTACCACCAGAACATGTGAAACCAGAACACAAACAGCTCTAAGACAAACTCTAGGTCAGCTGCTCGCACTTGGAACTGAAACCAGCACCGAATAATGTGACAAAGATAATCACAATTAAAAGCTAAAGAAAACTCAAAACAAACCCCCAACCCTGGGTCAGCGATCCATGACATCTATAGCTTCGCGCAGAAGCAGATTTTGTAGACATAGAAAGGTGTTGCGTAAAATAAGGAACTGAATTACCAAAATGCAGAAAAATTACAGTCGGTCATTTCAGCTCTGAAGGTAATTTTCTAATCTCTGTCTCACAGGGGAAAGAAAATGACGTCCAGCCGCAGGCATCATCTGAAGGTGAGGCTTAAACCTTTTGTTTTCTAAAACCTTTGAATTTTTGGAGGCTCTCTCTTCACTTTGCATGTTTTCGTCTTCCTGCAGAGTTTGATGCTGCACATCGCCGCCAACTGGCTCGAGCAGGAGAAGACAGACATCGCAGCAGCGAAGGAGGCCTACTTGGCTGAGAACTGCCCACCTTCTGACCTCAGCGGAGACCTGGCTGCCCTTACGGTTAGAACAAAACTGTGTCATATGCTTACACTTTCTTATGACCACAAGAAAACATCGGGGAGTTTTCCTCATTGTAGTGGAGCAGGTTGCAAAAAGTTGAGTTTAGGACATCAGAGGAAGGTGAAACATTTGTGTTATGAGCTGGTTGAATCTTACATTCCATTACATGTCCGTGATTAAAAAGCTATGAATATTTTCTAAGCAGTTATGTGACCTTATTTTACATTTAGCTGAAATTCATAATTTTCAAAATAAAAGTATGTTAATGCAATGTACTGATGCCAACCATTTATTTCTTACAAATTCATGTTTTAGCTAGAAACCACATCTATGAGGTAAAAGAGAAATAAACATGAAATATATATAAAATAGAGGAATTCAGATAAATACCTCCAAAGTGAACATCCATGCTGACTGCTAATGAAAAGCGTTCGTTCTGCACTTTAAAAGGACGCCTGCAAGAAGCTTCACGCCGCCATTGACAAGATCGACGAGTCGAGATACGACACCGAGATCAAAGTGCAGAAAGCCGACAAAGAGGTGAGAGTTTGAGCGAGATTATGGAAAACTCACTTTACTTTTAGATGTTTTTAATCTTAATGTCATCGTGTGTGCATGCTTTATTTCCAGATCTAGTTCCTTTGAGCATTCTCGACTGGGTAGGTGTAGATTTCAGTGCTAAATATCAGAATCAGTGGCTCTAACACTACTGAGTGACGACTGTCGCTGACAGTGAGCAGGTCTTTTTTACTCAAAAAGTATGAATTGTAACTATTATAATGAATGTTGAGAGGCAGCTGGATAAGTATGAAAGAGCTGGAAGGAAAAAGGAGGCGTAGGTTTGATATGAGGGCATTTTTGATTTTCATAAAAGTCTGAAACTCAGTTAACTGTGTGCTGCTGGAACATGTTTCATGTGTTTAAAATGGTTTTTATATTCCTAGCTGCTAAATCAGTTCAGGACTGTAGGGGGCAGACGTCTGTCCCAGTTTTCATAGGTGATAGTTACAACCAGGACAGGTTGGCAGTCCATCACAGAGAGACACACAACCATTCACACTCACGTGAACGGTTCACAGCAGCTTAGAAACCTGGATGTCTTTGGAGTGTGGGAGGAAGCCGGAGTACCTGCGGATCTGACTGGCTGCTTTTCCAGCTTTTAACGAACGATTCTCGACCTCCAGATTGAGGATCTGAAGCTGAAGGTGATCGAGCTGGCCGGTGTGAAGAAGCCTGCCCTGAAGAAAGTGCGCATGTCTGCAGACGCCATGCTGCAGGCTCTGCTGGGCTCCAAACACAAGGTGACCATGGACCTGAGGGCCAACCTGAAGCAGGTCAAGAAGGAGGTGAAAGAGGAGGTGAGACACGAGGTTTTCACAGCAAGGAAATCGGCTTGTTTCATCATCACTGTGTCCCACTGCTGCAGCTTAAACAACTTCAGGATTCAGTTTAGCTCACTGGACCGAATTCATCGAAAGAAACAGAGCGTAGCCACGTGTTAGGAACTGATCTGAGGTGAACGCTGATTCAGCAGGTTTGCAGAGCTTCTCTCCGTCATTATCACGCCTCACGTTTGGCCCAGCAGCTCGATACAGTGGATCTCGAGTGATCTCATTATTTGAATGAAATAATTTAATTATTATCTAAATTTAAATGATTTCTCTCTCTTCTCTAAAACTGTAAATCAGATTTCTGCTACACAAAATAAAATAAATAAATAAAACGACAGTTTTACAATGCACATAAAAAATGATCATCAGCAGTGAAGTTAGGCATGACATGCGAACCGTTATAGAGATGAAAATTAAAACATAGAGGCCTAAACATTCAAATATTGTACAAGTTAGTGTTTCTCTTAAACTACATTTATTTATTTTCATTTTTATTTATTGCACATGTTTTCATCTATGCACAGCTATCATTTAGGAGTCAGGCAAGCCTCAGGCACAAGTGTAAATGGTTATGGCTCTGTTATTATAGTTTTGGATTTTCTAATTAGTTTTATTTATTTATTTTGTTTTTGTCAGTTTAGTTTCATTTCGTTTCCAGATCAGTTTAGTTTTTATTGTTTGAACATCTTTTGCTTTATTTCAGTTACTTCAACCACAGATTTAAAACGTTATAGGTTCAAGCATAAAATAGAAAAAATATAAAATGTTTGGTCTCAGTTTGAGGTGTTGACAAGTTCTTCTCATTCTTTCCAGCCTGCAGACGTTGGCGACTGGCGTAAAAACATCGAGGACAAGGCCGACAGGAAGAAGATGTTCGAGAGCTCCTAAAAGCCGCCTGGATCGGCGGAGATGGTGGAGGGCGGCGGGGGCATTTAAGACTGAGGTCTGAGTGACTGAAGGTGTCTCTGGGTCTCGTCTGGACCCTCAGGGACAAAAGTTCAGACAGTTTCTTGATGATTTTTTGGCTGTTTTTGTCACGCTGTCACCCCTGCGCGTCAGAGAGACTGAACCAAAACAAAGTGAATTTAACTTTGTCTGCAGTTGAAACATCTGGCAGAGAAACGTCAGTTCAAAATGTACAGCTTTTCATGGAATCGTTAGCAATAAAAGTTTTGAAATAAGGATTAATTTGTTGCTACTTGTGTCCACTTAGTAACAGTTTAATGCCCTTCAAATTGATTCCTAAACATTTTCACACTGACACTTCAAAGAAATTCGATTTTTGACAAATTTATTAGAAAAAACATTTAGAGGACCTGCGCTCGTTCTGAAAGAGGAAAACTCATTTTCAGCTGAGAGAAGAGATTCTCCGACATGACTTTTCCAGTCTGCAGCATAAAAACTATAAAACTGATAGTTAAGAGAGCAAACAATGAAACCTATATAAATGATACTTCTTTTAAAAAAGTAATTACATTTCTAAATGCACAATAACATTTACAAAAGTTCAAGCAGTTTTTGCTATTGAACCCAAAACATCATGTTTTCAGAGAGCAAGCAAAAAAAAAATCCTTTTTAGATATTTTCCACACAAAGAAGCAACGATTCAACCATCTCATCTTTCTAGTTTTCAAACAGTTTCTGCATGTAAAGAAAAAACATCTGATTCAGTTTAACAGTTTAAACTTTAGACTATTGAGATTATTAAAGTAAGCTCATCTTACCCTGTTGCAAGTAAAAAATCATGTTGCAGAAATGTTCACATGTTGGAAGCATTTCCATGTTTTTATTTTTAAACTATGTTAGCGTAGCTTTGTGTAATTTGTGGCTCAAAATAATCCTTCTTTAAATTAAGCTGGGCTTGGTGTAGCCCCTCATTTTAGGAACTTTCTTCTGATTGGCTGTGAATCTCAAACAAAAGCTTTGATCAGCAGGTGGGCGGTGCTTATTTGGTCAAAGGGAGAGCTTTGTGATGACCCTGTTAGGGCTAGCCAAGCTTAATGACATCATTCGGAGCCAATAATAGACACTTGTTTTGTAAACCCGGGTGTTTAGAGGAATCTGCAGCCTAAACTTTAAAACACATACACTGTCCTCGTTATTTGAAATTTTGGCAACTTTTCATAGAAAAATTCAAATTAAATAATTAAACAAAATACATAAAACAGTAAAGAAGGAAACACATAATAATTTAACGTTGGGTTTTACAGGAAAGCTGAAGATTTCCATTTGTTGTGATGCTGCAGGGCTTAAAATGCTCCTTTTGAGTTAAAGATCAAAACATATATTAAATCTGTCCAAAGCCTTCTGAAGACATAAAACGTGTTCTGTTCATGCTCCTTTAAGTTTATTCCATATACACAAACACAGCATGGAGGCATGAAGGGTTCTCACAGGGAGGGCGTTTTGCAGAGCAGGGCTGGGCCGGGTGTATTTCAGGAGCTCGCAGGCCTATTGGTCTGCCTGGGAATCCATTTCCATAAAGAGGATCTGGGCATTTTGCTGAGGCATCGCAAACCACCATATATACCTATTTCATTTTTCACTGTCTGTGGCTTTGGCAGTGTCTCCTTTTCTTCCACCAAGTGTGTCCTGTCCTCTTCTTCCTCCTCTCAATAGGTGAGAAATCTTCCTTACTTTATCTTTTTTCTTTTTCTAATATCTCCAGCATCTTTGAGCTTCTCTGAGAGCAGCATCTTCTATTTTATCAGATAGAATAAAAAGATGCTGCATGCAGCCACGTCTCAAAACGACTGTGTTTAGAAAAGACATGATTTAAAGCAGGATTACAGCTCTGACTGTTCCTCACTCAATCCAAGTGGCTTCTTTACATTTGTTGGTGACATTTGACCTTTTTCTGTCAAACCTAAATTTATATGACGTGTTCAGCTGCTCTGCCTCAGTCTTGTCAAAGACCTGATTTCAGCTGTTTTGCCTCAAATTGTTCATTGACTTTTTGGATGTGCGTACAACAGAAATATGAGCTGATCAGAAGGCCTGGAATTACAAAAATCTGATTCTGGTTTGGTAAATATTTTCTGGTTCCCTGAAAATGTTTATGTATAAAGTTAAAAACTGAACAACACTTGAATCATTAATTAATCTTATATATGTATATATACCCTGCCTAAACAAACAAACAAAAAAAGATGTCTAACCTAATCTTCTAATCAAAAAGTGACATTAATTGGTCATGAAGTGAAGACATGCTGTCAGAGTGCCTCAGAGACACTATGGGTAGTTACTAAAGGTTAGCTACTGTCAGCTAGTTCATGATGTCATGTTAGTTAATGATATTCCACTGGAGATTTTTTCAAATTAATCCTTCACTCGATCACGTGTAAACCGAAGAGACGTGACACACGATCCCGGCCAGCCCAGTTTAGTTCAGTTGACGTCGCTGCTCTTCAGCTGTGGCCTCAGATCGCGTTACGGCACAAATATTCCCGTCTATCCATCTCCATCACAGCAGCAGAACATGCTGATCTCAGAGAACCTCACACTGATTATCTGAACATCTCTGGTGTTCAGCAGGGCTCAGAAAGACCTCAACGTTTCCTCCAGTCACTCAGTTTTATGTTTGTCTTACTGCAGGTTGTGAACCCGAAAAACCGCCAAGATGTCTGAGTAAGTGCGAAGAACATCCTGTCTGATTGATGCACACTATACCTCATTTATATATGCACAGAAATCTGCCTCCTTTTAAAGATGCTCCCTTTAAATGTTTAATATCTGGATCCAAAAAAGATGTGAATTAGAAAAATGTAACCTTTACAATTATTAATGATCACAACTTCCTCTCAAACAGGAAAAAGATGACTTCCAGCCGCAGGCATCATCTCAAGGTAAATAAGGATTATGAAAAAAAATTGAGTTCTTCTGCTGCTGAGTATGTTTGAGTGCAGACCATTAAACACGAGACTTGTTTGATGATGTCCTGCAGAGCTTGATCCTGCAGATTGCTATGAACTGGATCGAGCAGGAGAAAAAGGAAACCGAGACGGCCAAACAGGCCTACATGGCCGAGCACTGTTCTCCTCCAGACTTGAGCGGAGACCAGGCCGCCCTGATGGTGAGAGAGACATCAGGGTTTATCCGAGAAAACAGAAAGAATAAAAAAGAATAAAATGTTTCTTTTAGTAGTTCAGGAAACAATCAGCTACTATAATAGCCTTTTTTACTGTATTCATTTAATTAATTAATTTATGTTGTTTATTACTGTATTTATTTCATTATGTTGTTGTTTTGAGTAGAAACATGACTGTTATTATTATTTTGGCATTTAAGTGCCACCATAATGCAGCATGGAAACTGGACACTCAAAGGATGCTAATGAAATGAGAAGCTAGCCTGAACTTTGCTGCTGTAATTCATCATAAACATAAATTACCTGAAAGTGTTAAGTGAAGCACTGAGTGACCTGCTAACATTAGCACTCCTCTGCCAGAGGAATGTACATCCTTTAGCACCTAGCTGCTTTGATCGGCATGGCTAGCAACGCGGTAACTTGCATGTCTCTTCCAGTCTTGTGTACTTTTAGAAGCAAAAGTAGTTTAAAACTTTATATGAGCTTGAAACAAATGATTTACTCACTGGTTTTGTTACTTTAACAGCACTTTTGATATAAAAAGGGAAGGCCGTATAACTCTAAAGCTGTGGGAAGATCATCTTCTGGGGTTTCTTTATGCATCAACAGGAACTCTGCAAGAAGCTTCACGCCGCCATCGACAAGATCGATGACGAGCGGTACGATGCCGAAGCCAAGGTGCAAAAGACTGACAAAGAGGTAATCTTCCTCTGGGAGCATAACAGGATTAGAGTGGCCTCTAAAAAGTAAAGAAGGGTAAATATAACACTTTCTTTCTGTGCATAGATTGAAGACCTGAAGATCAAAGTTGTGGACCTGATAGGAGTGAAGAAGCCTGCCCTGAAGAAAGTGCGTATGTCTGCTGACACCATGCTGCAGGCTCTGCTGGGCTCCAAACACAAGGTGACCATGGACCTGAGGGCCAACCTGAAGCAGGTCAAGAAAGAGGTCAAGGAGGAGGTGAGTTCACAGACAGAGGGTGGTTTTGTCAGGATAAATCGACATGTTTGCACTTTTAGTTCCAGCAGTGATGGATTTTTATTCTTTTTTTACATCACTGACTTTACTGATGTGGTGCCAGTAAACCTGTTTTAATATCTATGAAGCAGCTTATCATCAATGTGATGACCCTACACTATCAGAATATTATATATAATGTTCTCCAAAGTTTTGGCATTCATGACAAAATAATTCTGACGTGCACCAAAAACTGTTGGTGACTTGGACGTCAAAGCGTCACGCGGTTAGACGATACACCGTGGCCTTTGAATTCCAGGCTGAGATTATATTGCAGATTTCAAACATAAATCAACTTTTACACAGCCAAAAATAATATGCACACCCAGGGAAACTTGGCGGCAATCTGGAAGAGAACGTATTTGGACTTCTGATCAGAAACTAGCACTGGAGCCTTGTATATCACACATTTGCTCACAGATGAAATTAAAAAGCATTTTTTTCCTAATTTCTCTTAAATCTGTAATTAACAACTGAATCATATTTGGTCCACAAGTTTTTGGAGGACGTTTTGGAGACTTCTGCATCTTTTGTGTGTTTTTTTTCCTGAAAAACTTGAATAAATCTCACAGTTTGTGATGCAAAGTAAAACTCATTCAGGAAATTAATATTTATTTATTTTTTAATTATTAGGAGTAGCATAATAAAGACTGCTTTTTCAAAAAAAAAAATTAATTCCTGTCAATTATTTCATCATTCAGTCTTTACAGTATTACAGAATTTTTCTACTTCTAGAAACATAAAGTCACATGTAAGGCATGTAAGGGCTGGTTTTCCATGTGTCAGCTGTCAAAGTGCAGAAATCAGCTGATTAAGTTCAATCACCTCTCTTTTTAATAAAACTAAGATGTCTAAATTCCCGGTTTGTTTGGACTAACTCGCTGCTTCCTGTCCTCTGCAGCCTACAGAAGCGGTGGGTGACTGGCGTAAGAACATTGAGGACAAAGCTGACAGGAAGAAGATGTTCGAGGCCTCCTAAATGTTTCGCTGCTCTGCTTTGTTTTTCTGTTTACATGAACTCCATGTGTCCTATTTGTGCTGGTGGAAGAGCGCGTTTGCTTTATGTCACACAGGTCTGAA